GACTATGAAGAGGACCCAAGGGGCAAAACATCCCAACTCATTAGCAGAAATTAAACATGTTTCTTCCTTATCGAAAACCATGGTTTCAGAAAGTTACTGTCACAAGATTGGAACTTTAAACAGAAATGTCAAGAACTCAGCTGGAGGGATCTGCCACCTTATTCCCAACAATGCCTCACTAATAGCCAGGGCTCACCACTGATACATTTATTACCTGGCCTTGTAAATTATGGGGCCACACATTCTCTCTGATTCCATCCAGGTTGACTCAGCTTTGGGAACAGAAGGGTACTCCTCCATCAGGGATTTATAAGAGACGGCTCCACCAGTTGAGAACATTCTTCTCTTTAGATGTGCTCCTGCAGGAGTGTACACTTAATGATTGTTTTGAGGTAGGTCCTTAAGTAGCTTGTCTTTCCTTTCTTAACTTCTTACAACTAAGAGAATGCATTGATCAGGCCCCCTTCATGCAATTACTGACACCAGGTAATAAATATGGATTGGCCCCTGGCTCTGTGGAATCTGGTTCCTCTGTTCCCGTGAGCAGAGACTGAGAGGCGGGTGTCATCAAAGTCACAGGAAATCTTCACTAGCATTCCTTATGCCACTCAAGTTTCTGTCCTTTACCTATCTGCACATCAAATCTCATCCATTGCTCAAAAACTTGGCAGGGACATTGTAGAGAAGATAGAAGCACTAGTTTGTGGACTAATTAAATGCCTTTTAAGGTCCTTCTCAGTCAAAATATAGACTGAAGAGCACATATGAACAATTGCCAATGACAAAATTATATTCTGTGGATGTTCCTTATTCAGCTCAGTAATACTTACTAGATACCCATTACATGCCAGGTGAAGCATTATGGTGAAGCATTACTTCATAGTGAAGATAACTAGAATTCAATTGGGATGATGCCATTACCCTTTTGTTTCAGAGATCAGAATTTCCTAATTTTAGTAACAATGTCCAAACTCCAAATGCTATCATGGCTCATATTTGGTAGCCCCTGTCCTGTTTCTGATGTCTCCCCAAACTGGCTCCATAGATTTCTGGGCCTTTATTTAGGAAGTGCTGCTTCCTTCTCCACATCCCTCTAAGCTCAGTTTAAACATCACATCCTTGCCAACTTCCTCCCCAAAGGGACTGTTCTTGTGAAACTTTGCTGGCTCTTGCAGTACAGCAGTGATTGCATTCTACTCTGTAATTCAGTTGACTGTTTCTGAATCTGTCCTGGCAGAGATCCTTGAGGGCAGGGAGCAGGAAGATCAGACCTTACTGTTCTAGTATCTCCAGTGCAATACTTTGAACACAGTAATGACTTTAGCTATTATTTTCTCATGAAGAAAAGAATGTATCTCTCAGGTGCCTTCTAGATCAAAGTTTAGTTGAATCTGGTTTGATGAATACCTGTAGAATCCAAATCAGTACTAAGAGCAGCTGTACAGAAGCTGGGTACTTGGAACGAGGATGGACTATGGGCAATCCAATTTGGGCTTGATACCAGCGATGCTATTTCCTAAGCTACTGGCATTGGGACATTGCTTCCGTTCACTGAGCCTTGGTTTTTAACCTATAAAATGGTAATAGGCACTGGGGGTGATCTCTAGGACTGCTGTGAATATAAAAATAAGACTGTGTATCAAAAGTCCTTACACAAGGACTAGCACTCAGTGGAAACCAATGTCAGACGTCAAGTTTTTACTGACAATAAGATTACATCAGTACCCTGACAAAAGGGGAATGTGAAGGTGAGAACAGAAACTAAGCCAAAAGTTACAGAATAATGGCTGCCGAAGAATTAAAGATAGGGAGTAGCAGGATGAAGTAGAAGAGGAATGGAATGGTTCAAAAGTGTATGCAGGTATTATACTATTCTTTGGGTAACTTGTTGCTTTTTCTCTCCAAAAGTACTCAGTTCAATACTCAGTTGAAGTAGAACTGGGCTTCAGGATGGGCGAATTCAAGGCCACAACTGAATTGATGAGGGCCCTAGAATCTCTCATTGTGTGTTTTATATGACTTGAACCCAATAAGACTGACCGAGTAATTTAGAGAGCTTTCAGAGGATTCAAAGCACTTATCACAGATGGCTGCACACGTTACAGGTACTCTTGAATAGCTGAATTAGAAACATTAAGGGATCAGGCTGACTTATAGGGGCATACTCCAGGAGTCAATAGGAAAGTATATTTTTTTCACTGGAAATATTCAGTCTGTTTTTTCTTATTAAGGAAATAAATTATCATGATAATTTCAAATCAGAACATTTTTGCACCTCACTTTTTAGAAATTATACAGCAAATAAAAAGATAAACGTGTGGTTCAAAAACATATTTGGTATTTGACCTGAACTCATATGGGCCCCATGTATGGTATAGTTTTAACACATGGGTAAAAATTTATACATTTTGCTGCAGAAATATGTGCTTCATAATGGCATTGTCTGGGTGTTCCCTGTGGGTATCACGTACTGTGTGAGAATTATGCCAAATAAAATTTGAAACTTCTGAATTCCAAAACAAATCTGGGCCCAAGAGTTTCAAAGGAGGGATTGTGGATCTTTACAAACTTAATCATGTCAGACATTAGGCCATATTTTTCAAGCTTTTATCATTCTCTATCAAATCAACACTCTTGCTACATTTACATATCACCTGTATTATCATACTTTCTAGTACAGTAGTTTCCCTTATCCAATTTCCTCTCCTATCCCATGGTTTAAGTTACCCACAGTCAACTGTGGTCCAAATACATTAAATGGAAAATTCCAGAAATAAGCACTTCATAAATTTTAAATTGCACATTGTGCTCAGTAGCACAAAGGAATCTTGTGCTACCATGCCTGGGGTGTGAATTACCCCCATCTAGCATATCCATGTGGTCTTTGCGATCAGTTAGTCACTTGGCAGCTGTCTAGCATATTAGACCCACTGTTGCAGTACTGTCCCACAGCGAAAGGACAGTGATGCAATTCAGATATGCCAAATAGAAGCCAAAGTACTTCCTTTCATATCATCCCAAGAGGAAAGGTGAATATAGTATAATAACTATTTAGAGAGAGAAAGAGAGCACAAATTCACACAACTTTTACCAGGTACATTGTCATAATTGTTCTATTTTATTATTGTTAATATTTTACTGTACCTAATTTATAAATTAAATGTTATCACAGACAAGTATATATAAGAAATAGATACATATATTTACAGAGTTCAGTACTATCCAAGGTTGTTGGCATCCACAGAGGTACTAGAAAAGGAGGGACTACTGCACTTGCCTTCAGATCCTTTTTTCTTAAATAACATACCTTTTAAAAAAATGCCTTATATCCACTGCAAAAGTTGAAGGTCTGAGAGGTCTGCTCTCTGGTTAAAGAGTGAAATTCTAATCGAATAGAGAGGTGGTTAAAGACAGAGTAGAATGAAACTGAGATCTTTGCCTCAAATTATCAGAAAGCTCAAAAGAAAACTGAAAAAGAAATAACTACCTTTCTATATGACTCAGTGTCATCTGTGCCATGCCAGCACACCATCTCCAAGATCCTATGCTTTGGGAAACTGGCCTAGACTGTCATCGTCCTGATACTCAGGAAACAACTCTGCTGAGAGAGGAAGTCTGTATGGGGATGGGGACATGGTTGTACAAAAGCATAACATAGCAGTGAAGAGGGCTCATTGTTTTTTCTCTTTCTGTTCTGTCACTCAAAGCCTGTCAGCTGGATTCAGTGGTCACTTGCTGCAACTGTTTACTTATCAAATTGGCACCAAAGTAATTTTGAGTACAACTCTCTGGAGCATTCACAGCCTCCTCTTGTCAAAGGACACCTCAGAACAATAGGACCTAGATGTGAACACAGACTGACCAATGAAATGACAAACAGGACCTCTATCCTTTATTAACTACACTAGCCACTGTAAGTAATGGCCTTCACAATTGGTAGAGTAAGATTTATTGTAGAAAGAAAATATGTCAGTATTGAAAAGTACCTTCAAATAGATATCATCTATACATATTTTTGTAAAAATAAAATAAATTGGATACAAGGGAGAGTTCTTCCTTAGAGTAGCATACTGGGAGTTGGAAATGTTGGAGGTTAGAAATCTCCATTTTGTAACCATTTCAAAATTAAAAATACAACTACACATTGATTAAACTAAGTGATCAAAATTAACATCACCAGTAAGGGGAAAACATCATGAGCCTCTGGATGTGGTGGACCAATATCACTACTGAGGTATTCATGAATCTAATCATGAAGAAACATCAAACAGACCCCAATTGAAGGAGATGTTGCATAATATCAGCCTATATTCTTAAAAATGTCATGAAAGACTGTAAGATTGTTCCAGATTAAAATACACAATCCTGGTCAGGTATGATGGCCACAAGCCATGATCCCAGCAACTGTGGAGGTTGAGGCAGGAGGACAGAAACTTTGAGACTAGTCTCAGCAACTTAGGCACTCAGCAACTAAGGAGACCCTATCTCAAAAAAAAAAAAAAAAAAAAGAGGGGGGCCCGGGGATGAAACTCACTGGTAAAGTGTCCCTGGGTTCAATCTCTAGTACCACAACAAAAATAAAAATAGAATCCCAGACTGTATTTAATATTAGAAAAAAACATAAATTATTAGAATAGTTGACATAATTAGAATATGGATGTCAGAGTAGTAAAAGAACTGAATCAATGTTAAATTTCCTGATTTTGAATACTAGTATAGTTAAGAGAATATTGTTTTTTTAAAAAAAGAAATACATGCTATGAATTCAAGAGTATGAAGGCAACCTCTTACCCTCAAGCAGTTCATGAAAAAATGCATATGTATGCAAATAGGAAATGATCAATATTAAAAATAGGTGACTGTGAGAAAGATAAGTGATAGTTGTTTTACTACTCTTCCAACTTTTCTGGAAATTTGAAATGAGGTCTAAGAAACTCCTCCCAGTTCACGAGGCTGACATGGAAGCCAACATCATACTCCTGATTTCCATTTGGACTCACCATCCTTCTGAGAATCCTCAGCAGAAGCTTCTGCTCCTTTGGATCCTCCCTGGACATCAGCAAATCAGCAAAACATTCCACATTTTCAGGGGACAGGCTGTCTGGGTTTTCCCCTCCATACAGCTGAACCAGTATAGACAGACACTTGGATGAAACCTCAAAAATTTCAGGATCCTCACTAGGAAGCTGAAAAGTAACAAATAGGATACTTTAAATTCCATTGAAGATAACGTTGGTATTCCTCAAAAAATACAGTAAAAGTTGGCTCAGAACATCTGTCTGAGCAGAAAGTTTGACTAATTGAATATTTTTTTAAATGAATCTATTGTAAAGTTATAGGATAGCTCAAACACAAGGCTAATGGCACAAAATCAAAAGAAGATCCTGTAGTCCTTTTTTTAACCAAAGGAAAAAATGAGCAGAACTAGTAGAGGATGGAGATGTATTTTACATCTGGCACATGCATGGATTCATCTCTATTTACGGGGGGAAGGTGTTGATGGATTTTTCAGGGGCAAGTTCCTTTAGATTATCATTTACCTGTAACTTGCTTAGGGAAAATCCACTTTTTAGAGAATATTAAGGAATATTTTAGCCTTTTCTGCATCCAAATCATCATTGACTCTACAGAGCATTGGTTCTATGTACACTAAAAGATACAACATGAAATAGTAATCATATTATAAACATTTTAATCTATTTTTAGTTTTTATTTTATCTGCAATATCTTTATTGAGATGTAATATTTATACCATATAATTCACCCAAAATGTATAATTCAACAGTTTTTAGTACATTCACAATAATGCAACCATTAATACAATCAAACCTATTAAAATTATTTTTGGTGCTCTGGATTGAACCCAGGGCCATGCCACACTAAACACACACTCTACCACTGAGCTATATATCCAGTCCCTTCAATGAATTTTAGAACATTTTCATCATCCCCAAAAGAAATCTTATACACTTTAGTAAGATTTTGCTATCCCCCTTTTCCTGTGCTTTTTGTTTCAATGAATTTACCTATTTTGGATATCTCAGATACAAAAAATCCTATAAAATGTGATCCTCTGTGACTGGCTTCTTTCACTTAGAATCACGTGTTCAAGGTTCATCCATGTTGTAGCATGTATCCATAGAATGGAAGTAACACATTTTGTTTACCTATTTATAAGCTGGTGGACATTGAGAGTTTTCAATTTTAGGCTATTCTGAATAATGCTGCTGTGAACATTTGTGTACCTATTTTTGTGCAAGCCTGTGTTGTTTCTTTGGGGTATATACCCAGGAGTGGGATTGCTGGGTCATGTGGTCACTCTATATTTAACCTTTTGAAGAACTGCCAGGCTGTTTTCTGAAGTTGCAATTTGCAACAACAATGTCTGAGAGTTCCAGTTTCCTTACATCCTAACCAATACCTGTTATTATCTGACTTCTGCATTCAGCCCTCCTAGTAGCTATGGAGTATGGTTTCCATTTGTACTTTCCTAATGGCTAATGATGCTGAATCTTCTCACATGCTTATTGGGCTTTTGTATATCTTTTTTGGAGAAATAGCTGTGCAAATCCTTTGCCCATTTTTAAAATAAATCATGTGCAAAAAAAATCAATATAGCATGTGACTTTTTATGATTGAGTTCTGATAGTTCTTTATGTTTTAAATATGATTTTAGAAAAACAATTTTCCATTCTGTAGGTTCTCTTCTACTGTCTTAATAGCATTCTTTGAGCACAAAATATTTTAAATTTGATGAAGTTTCATTTATCATTTTTAATTCAGGGTTTATATACATGATTTTTGCAACATATCTAAGAGTTCACAACCAAGCTCATGAGGACTTATATGCTTTTCTTGCTAAGGATTGCTTTGGGCCTCTCATTTTTCCAAATGAATTTCATGACTGCTTTTCTTTTATTTCTATAAAGAATGTCATATGAATTTTAATGGGAAAATTCGTAAAATATGTATAGCACTTTTGGTAGTATGATCATTTTGACAATATTAATTCTGCCTATCCAAGAACATCAGAGGTCTTTCCATGACATGATCTCATATCTAGAAGACCCAAAAAACCCCATGAGAAAACTTCTAAAACTCATAAATGAGTTCAGTAAAGTAGGAGGAGACAAATCTAACACCCATAAATCAATTGTGTTCCTTTGTTCCAATGATAAATCAGCTAAAAGAGAAATTAAGAAAATTATTCCATTCACAATAGCCTCAAAAAAACATACTTGGGAATCAATTTAACAAAAGATGAGCTTTACAATGAAAAGTACAGAACACTAAAGAAAAAAATTGAAAAAGACCTTATTTTAATTTTCATTCAGTTCTATATGCATTTTAAAAATTTCCTTTAAGATGTCATCTTTCACCCATCAATATTTGGAAGTGTGTTTTCTTTTTAGGTGTTGGAAAATTTCCATTTGTCCTTCTGTTATTGACTTCTAATTTGATTCCACTTTGGTCAGAGACTACTGTATGATTTCAGTATTTAGTTTTTTTTATTACTCCTTATTTATAGTAATCACATACTACCTTTCTGTTTTTGTATAAGTGTTTGCCTTTTGAATATTTTAAACTTTCTTTTACAAACTTCCTATCCTATTTTCTTTCCTCTTAATAAATTTTAATTTTACTATCTTTAAGAACATTCATGTTACTGCCATCATTAGTACTAAGGAGGCCATAGTTGATACCTTCTACTTACTTTAATATTAGATCTAGTTCACAGCTGTTCATTGCTGCTGCTATTGTTAAAGGGTGATCCCACCATTCCATTTTGTGGTATTAATGGTGTACATAGGCACTGGACATTTATTCTAATGAGGTAATTGATCATTATTGTTGCTGCTGGTACTTGTTTCCCTTTTTTCTGAAGAGGAGCTAGGAAGCAACTGGTACACTACAATTTCATAGGGTATAGACTCTGTAGCTGAACTATACCCCCAACACACAAACCAGCCCCCCACACAAACCAACCCCACTCAAGCTTCAATAATACTATAACACATAGAATAGGGGAGACAAAAACTTTAAACCAAAGACTAGATCCAAAGTAAATATGACTAGAAGGGAACATCAGGTCCTACTCTTTTTTTTTCTTTAATATGTACTTTTTAATTGTAGATGGACACAATACCTTTATTTTATTTTTATGTGGTGCTAAGGATCAAACCCAGTGCCTCATACATGTCAGGAGAGCGCTCTACCACAGAGCCACAGCCCCATCCCCAGGTCCTACTCTTGGACATCTATACCTACAGCAAAATCAGAGAAAGAACTCTAAAATTAGAAAAACACACACCATTATAGCAGTTTAATAATAGTAAATTAATCCAGCAGTTCAGCAGCAAATCTACAGGCACTGGTGGTGAAAAATAACACTTGAAATACACTGAACTTATGTGATGAAGCAAATGGAAACCAACATGGAAGTCATTACAAAAGAGACAACTACATGCCAAAGGATGTCCTCAAAAAACAGGAAAAAAAATCTACCTCAAAAGATGTGCAAGTATAAGACCTCTGAAACATGAGGAAACAGGCAAATAAGTCTCCTCCTATCTAAAGATATAATCCCCCAACAAAGGAACACACACAAAAGGTGACAAAATTTCAGAGAAAGACTAAAAAATTGATTATTAAAAGAATTAATGAGTTAAAAGAAGACCTAAGAAATTAATTAAGAAATGAACTAAGAGAGCAATTACAGGAGGTAAAAGACCATCTCAACAAAGAAATAGAAACTCTGAAAAGGAACCATTCAGAATTAGAAACAAAGATACAATAAATCAAATAAAAAATTCACTAGGTAGCATTACCAACAGACTAGATTACATAGAAAGCAGAATCTCAGGCCTTGAAGATAGGGCATTTGAGCTAGAACACTCAGTATGACAGTAAATAAAAATAAATAAATACCATGCTCAGGATATACAAGAACTCTGGGGCAAGATTAAGAGACCAAACATGAGAGTCATCAGGATAGAGAGGGAATAGAAATACAGGCTAATGGCATTAAGAAACTTTCCAGTGAAATAATGTCAAAATTGTTCACACCTTAGAAATGAGAAGATCATCCATACACAGGATGCATATAGAACCCCAAACAGACAAGATCAAAAAAGAACCTCCTTCTAGACACATCATAAACAAAATGCCTAACAAGAGAATGATAGAATATTAAAGGCTGCAAGAGAGAAACATCAGATCACATTTAGAGGTAGACCAATACCACTCAGAATCTAAAAGCCAGAAGAGCTTGTAATGAGATAATCCAATCTCTGAAAGAACACAATTGCTAGCAAAAGTTGTATATTCAGCAAAGGAATTATTCATAATTGTATAAGGAACAAAAACTTTTAAAGATAAAGATAAAAGAATTAATGATTATAGAAAATATTTAAAGAAATACAACAGAAAGAACTCAAACTTCACAGTTCTCAAATGGTTGAGGCTTTCCAGAAGAGCAATTAAACAAATGAAAATAAAAATAAGTTAAATCTATGAAACAAACCAAAATGACTAGAAATGATAAACATGTCTCTGTAATAACTTGAATCTCAACTTTCCAATTAAAATACATAGATTAGTAGACTGGATTAAAAAACAAGACCCAATTATATGCTGCTTGCAACAGACTCATCTTATACACAATGATTATCCACAGGCTGAAAGTAAAAGAATGGAAAAACATTCCACACAGAATCTGAAAACAAGCAGGAGTAGCTATTCTCTTATGTCAAAGAACATTTCAAACACAAATTAATCAGAAGAGACAAGGAAGACAGCTAAATGCTGTTAAAAGAAATAAGCCAATAAGAAGATATAATTATAGTAAATATTTATGCCCCAATGTTGGCACACCTAATTCGTAAAAACACTTCTTCTAGTTCCAATACAACAATACTTGGTGGTTTCAACACACCCCCTCTAAACAAGAGACAGGTCATCCAGACAAAGATACTTCTCACCTAAATGAAAGTATAAATCAAATGGAGCTAAGAGATATCTATGGAATATTTCAACCAAAACAGCTGAATACACTCTCTTCTCAGCAGCTCCTGAAACCTTTTGCAAAACAGACTATATTTTAGGACTCAAAGCAATTGTTAGCAAATACAAACAAAACTGATATTATTCCAAGCAACTTATCAGATTATAATGGATTGAAATCAGA